CGCTGTTTTAGCCACTGCTATTGCTGCTGTAGTGGCTGTAGCAGCCTTCCCATGTCCTGAGCTGGATGTGACCTGCGAGAAACCCCACTGTGTGGATCTGGCCCTAGGGGCCCAGGTGAGTTTGGCACCCCTGCTCTATTCCAAACAGGACTGTTGAGATGGAAGGCAGCTTAGATCTCCCTACTCTTCAGATCTCATTTTTATTTCAGTGATTCTAGTTGCACCACATAGCCTCTTTTGATCTCCTCCTCCATATCATTTTCATCTTTTCTCCTTGAGCTCCCCTCTTCCTGTAGTTCCTTCTCCTGCAGATATAAGTCCCATCATCAAATGAACCTCCCTCAGTCTCAGCTACCTCTGTCTAAATGTCCTATTGTTTCTCCAAAGCCAGATGACCAGGCAGGGTAAATGTTCATGCACACTTGTCTTCACACCTGCAGGAATTTGAGGGCCATGTTTGTTTAGCTTCTCTTTGTTACTTTTTGATAAGTAATCTGCAAATGTAGGCTTTGGCATGTTTTTTCTTTTTCCTTGGCATTGACTGATCTATTTATGCCATTCTTGGTAGAGAGGTGGATCCTTTCCCAATCTGTTTCAGTAGGTATTCCCAAGCTATTTTGAAATCTTAAATTTAATGGTGATATTGTTTTCCTTCATGTTATTTCTAACAAGATAGGTGCTGTACAGAAAACTTGATGGTAGAGGGGATAGTATGTAACTGATGGTGAGCAGTGTCTTGGTATATGTAAACTTAACTAGATGGTGTTGGAAGATGAATGCAAGCCTGATGGCACGCAAATGTTTGAACGCTGGGGAGAGGGGTTTGTGCAGGATGCACGTAAGCTTGACTGTTGGTCGTTAGGAATGCAACCTAGTTTTTTCCAACACAGTCAACTGCTGCACCTGACTTACCAAGGTAGTAGAAGAAACAATCTAGCAAAAGGCATGCAAGGTTAGATGTAAGGTGGAGCTGCCTTGCATGCTGGAGTGGAGAGTCCACAACAGTTAGCAGCTTTTAATATGGAATCACAGGCTCTGAATCCTCAACATATTAAAACAGTGGTGCTCAGGCTTTTGGTCCCACAGGCTGGAGGAGAAGCATGGAGTTGGTTCACTGGCTGCATCCCATAAAGGGTTGGTGCATGGGATCAGTTTGCAGGTGTGATTCCCATTGCATGCCAGGCACAATATGGTGGTGCACTGGTCTGACCCCACTATCTCTTTTCCTTTAAACTTCCCAGTTCCCAGAGCATGCCCTTTGGTCCTGGGGAGGGGTGGTGGGGTGGCGAGGTGACATAAATGAACAGGGTAGGGTGCAGCTGTCGTTGTAGTCACCACATTTCCGGAGTAAAGGCAGTTAGAGGTTTACACTGCCCAGAACCATTCTCCCTTGCAATTGCAAAAGCAGCACATTTTCCCTGACACCATCCTGCTGCGACTGACCCAGTAGCTGTTCTGGATGGCACAAGGCATCCCCACATTATATGCATCTCCCCTGTCTTGCATTGCCAGCTTCACAGTATTCTGGGAACCATGATCACAGGGATCTATATTCAGCTGCAGGAAACAAGTGTACTGACAGCTTTCTAGGGAACATACACAAACATTGTGAATTGGAAAGCTGAGAGCTTGGGCAGCCCCAGCTCCCTCAGGCTCTGGGAATCCAGGAGAGGGGGTCCAAGCACTCCCCATTGTCCCCCACAATCCATCTAGCCATTCTCAGGCAGCCCCACACACAATATTGTGCAGTCAATCACAGGCAATGTGCACCAGGCAAGCAGCTTTCTAGGGGAAGTAGAAAGCAAAATTGTCTCCAGCCCTAAACGGAAAAGTGAAAAAATCTAGACACACAGGTCATGCAGACCCTTGAATTCTAGAGGTGGGCATCCAACTCCCCATACCTGACACCCCCAGGCTGCCTGACACCCTTCTGAACTCAATCAACTGCGGGACTTTGTAATTTATTGAATGGTTCTCTAGGAATTGTTTTCTAGAAAGAGTTATTCTAGGAAATGGCAAGCCCATTGAAATGGCAATGTTCACCAGCTGTAGTCTCTGTGGCATTCTGCTCAAACATAGCCTGATGCAGTGCCTTGAATGGTGTGTCTGCTGGATCTCCTCCCCCCCATTCCCCCCACAATGGAGAGCAGGTCTAGCACCTCTTCCAGGCACCAGCTGTTGACACACCCAGCAGAGGAGGAGGAGGATACCATGGGGGCATTGCTCTTGTCAGCTATATCAAAGGATGTCCCTTGAGTACTTCTAGTCAGTACTGCTGGCCACCTAGTATCATAGACCACCAGACAGCACTGCAAGGACTCTGCTTTTTTTGTGCATGGTGGAGAGTTGGGTGTAATGATATTTCCAAACCTTGTGTACAGGTACTGTGGCACGAGATGGCTGACCTTGTGATCACCTGTAGTGAGCTTGACTAAATGACTTGTAACTGATCCCAGGGACAGTAATTTTCTAGCCATACATGGGAAACCCAAGCTACTGCCCAATGAGTACTTAATGTCATAGAATGACTGTCAGATCTGTGCTCAGGCAGGCAATTAATTGGCCTGTTAATTATTCCATGACTTCCATGCTGTACTGGCACAGTCTGCCCTGCTCCACATGTTCTGCTCCTCCTGGATGCCCTGTAGTGTAAAGGGAAACCGAAACAAGGGCACAGGGGACCAGGCATACGATGTGGGTTATGTAGGAATTCGGGGGGAGGGGCGAGGGGAAGCAAGATACATGTGCATACACATTTTACCCCCATCTCCCCTCTGTATGCCCCACCCCATACCATGCAGGGAACCTTGTTCACCAAATATAAGTTAATTAAACAGCTTTCTAGGGTAATTTTTAGAGGCTGCAAAGTGAGTTACAAAAAGCATTGGTAGCTGCAAATTGCCCAGTTCCTGGGAATCATAGAATTGGAAAATTAGGGTTGGAAAGGACCTCAGGAAGTCATCTAGTGAGTCCAACCCCCTGCTCAAAGCAGGACCAACCCCAGCTATTTCATCCCAGTCAAGGCTTAGTCTCCCTGGGGCTTCAAAACCTCCAAGGATGGAGATTCCACAACCTCTCTGGGTAACCTGTTCCAGTACTTTACTACCCTCCTAGTGAGAGTTTTTCCTAATACCTAACCTAAACTTTCCTTGCTGCAACTTGAGACCATTGCTCCTTGTTCTGTCATCTGCCACCACTAAGAACAGTCCAGCTCCATCCGCTTGGGAACCCCCCTTCAGGTAGTTGAAGGCTGCTATCAAATCTCACCTTATTCTTCTCTTTTCCAGACTAAATAAGCCCAGTTCTCTCAGCCTTTCCTCATAAGGGCCTACCAGCCCTCTAGCCCAGTGGTCTCCAACTTTTTAAGTAGCAGATCACTTTTGGAATTTAAAAGCAACCCAAGATCTACCTTGCACGGCCACCCTCACTCTCCTGCCCAGCAGGTAATAGAATCATAGAAGTAGGGTTGGAAGGGACCTTGTAGATGTTCAAGTCCGACCCCCTGCCTGGGCAGGAAGAAAACTGGGCTCAAATGACCCCAGCCAGGTAGGTATCAAGCCACTTCTTAAAGACCCCCAGGGTAGGAGCCAGCACCACTTCCCTTGGAAGTTGGTTCCAGATCGTAGCCGCCCTAACTGGGAAGTAGTTTCTACGGATGTCTAATCTAAACCTACTCTCCAACAACTTGTGGCCGTTATTCCTTGTTATCCTGGGGGGTGCTGGGGGAAGCAAGGTCTCCTCCAAACCCTTCTGGTCCCCCCTAGTGAGTTTATAGACGGTCACCAGTTCCCCCCTCAGCCTTCTCTTGTGAAGGCTGAACAGGTTCAGGTCCTGTAACCTCTCATTGTAGGGTCTGCCCTGCAGTCCCGGATCGTGCGGGTGGCCCTCCTCTGGACCCTCTCAATGTCGCCCACATCCTTCTTGAAGTGGGGTGCCCAGAACTGGACACAGTACTCCAGCTGTGGCCTGACCATTGTTGCGTAGACGGGGAGGATCACCTCCTTGGCCCTACTTGAGATACACCTGTGGATGCACGATAAGGTCTGGTTAGCCCTGCCGACCGTGACCTCGCATTGTCGGCCCATGTTCATCTTGGAGTCAATAATGACTCCAAGATCCCTTTCTGCCTCCGTGCTCTCAAGAAGGGAGTTTCCCATCTTATAAGTGTGCTGCTGGTTACTACTGCCCAAGTGCAGCACCCTGCACTTGTCAGTATTGAAACGCATCCTGTTCTTGTTAGCCCACCCCTGCAACCTATCCAGGTCTTTCTGCAGTCTCTCCCTCTCTGCTAACGTGCCCACCTCTCCCCATATTTTGGTATCATCAGCAAATTTGAACAGATTGCTTTTCACCCCGT